ATTTTATTTTTTGTATTTTGTAAACTGTTTAACTTTTCTATAAACCAATAGATCACAATTTAAAAGTTTTGTTTTATATGATATTTATAACAAAGTCTTTAGAATATGTTTTTAACTTTTAATACATTGGTAGTTTTGTTTTTATATGTGGGCAAGAATGACCCCTTTTTTTTTTTTTCTAAGGTAGCTAGATGATGTAAATTGAATGTGTGAATAAACTTCTAATGCACATGCAGTATTTTTGGAAGTAATGTAGATTGAGTGCTTATTCTTTATTTTTTTCTGTTATTGGTAAAAAAAAGTAAAGTAAATAAAAGACAACAGTGCAGCAAATGAATATATGAATTATCATGCCTAGACACAATAAAGATGTGAGAATGACATAAAATCTTCATATGTAGTATTGTATACAGGTACAGGGCGGCATTCACACTATTTTGTTTTATAAATTATATAAATTTCAAGCGTGATTAAATTTTTTTATATACAGGTTATTAATAAATTTCTTGAGAATTACTTTAAATATTCTAAATAAGGATTACATCTATTGGTTATCATTCTGTGATGTTCTCACTAAAGTTATTGAAAAGAAATGTTGAAACATTAAGTAAAAGCCAACACATTGCTTAACCTTTTTTATATATCACTAGATCAAATTAGCAAAGAAATAAAGTCAAGTTTTTATGTCTATGAATGGGTAGGATTTTTTACAGTAAGTGTCTGTGAATTGTTGGTGATAAATTTTGACAATAAATGGTCAGCACACAATGCACTTGTTTTAATATAATATATTCAAAATAAGTCAAGTGTGTATACAAATGTTCATTACACAGTTATTCACCACAGTTGTATCCAGAGCTTTAAATAATCGTTTCTTTTCACCAAGAGCCCACACAGTTACTTTAAAACCCAACTGACAATACAAATTATTCTTCTCTACTCTGTTATTACAATACAATCTGCGATTATTACACTTTAAAAGTCACCACTATACACTCTTTATGGCTAAACTTACAAAGACAGTCTAGATCTATTTGACTGTATCTCTCACTTTGTCTTACTTTCACTAACATACTTACTTTTATAAATCACCACTATAACTGTTGGTGACCAGAGTTATATCCAAAACTTTAAATAGTTGTCTCCTTTTCGTTCAAGTCCATACAGGTAGGTTCAATTACTTTAAAACATCCTTTGACCAGACAAAATTTTCTTCTGTACCTCTGTTATTACAATACAAGATGTGATATTCACTTTAAAATCACCAATATAATTGTTGGTTACCATAGTTGTATCCAGAGCTTTAAATAGTTGTCTCCTTTTTGTCGAAGTCCATACAGGTGGATTCAATTACTTTAGAACACACTTTGACAAGACAAATTATTCTCCTATATCTCTGTTATTCCAATACACACTGTGATATTCACCTTAGAAATTGCCCATTATGGCTAGCTTCACATGCAGTTTAACTTCACTTTTATCATCACTATCTTACTACTTGCACTAACTTGGTCACCTATATATATTGTCTGACTGAGGCCCGGAACTTTCTAAAAACTACGAGACTTTATGATGTAACAATACTCACTTAAAGCAACGAGAATAACTGAGAAAGTTTGAGTAACATGGCATCAATTCACAACAATTCAACTATGCAACAAATGATTCATAAACAGTTACATAAACGAACTTGCCATAACTATCGCTTCTAAAATAACTTACTTTAACACTCATACATTATACACTAAATAATATTCTCGTATTAAAGTTAAAATTAACAGTCGTGTATATCTATCATAAACCCAGTACTGTTATTGTTCCTCTGCAAAAACATGTACTAGCCTTTTGATAGACGTTGGTTTTTTTTTTACAAGCTATGTGATTAACTGAATACAACTGAAATGTACTTCTTAAATTACTGATCACCATACAGATAAATATCAAGAACGATATTCTGGGAAGCACATTGCACAGAAATTTTTTGAAATTAATATTTTTGTACTCATATTTAGCAGATAAATGTTTTAGCTCAAGGTATGGAGAAAAAAGCTCGTTATAAATATGCATATATAAAGAAAAGTGAGATTAAGCTAGAGGTTTTTGGCTTTCAAAATAAATGTTTAGCCTAAAATTCGGGACTTTGAATAATTGTAATTTTTTTTCATTTATATACATTAAAAATATTATTAGAGTAGTTCTTGCACTTAAGCTTATATAAAATTAAATAATTTGATAAGCTTTATTATTTCTTTAAAAAGTCTTTCGAAATTAATATTTTTATAATCTACCCTCCTCCCTTTTTTAGTTCCAATCTTTCATTGGAGACCTAAAATTAAACTTGGAAATCAGACCTACCAGTTGAACTATTGAAGTTTATTAATGTCTTTTTAGGTTAAATGCCAACATTTTAAACATTAACGTTTGAAATGTAGTATTAAATTTTAAACTTAAAAACTGTAGAAAGATTTATTTTAAGATATTCATGCAAAACTTTATCGAAACTACCTGTATCAACTGACCTAATTGCTAGACCAGAGAGAAGACAGCTAGTCGACAGCACTCACCACCAATTCTTTGGCTACTCTATCCAAAAATGGGATTTGACCATAACTCTTATAATGAACTTCGTTCATTATACAAATAATAAAAAAGATACAAAAATTAAGTATGATGTAGGGATGGCAATGCCAAATAGTATATAAACATCGTATGGATGAATACTTAAAACCGTACAAAATTCACTACATAAGTAGCCAAATCTTTCTAAATGTACTTTTTATTCACAACTAAATACTAGTTGCATAAAGTTAGGTTTAAATAAAAGCATTTAAACTGAATATTGCCATACAGCTCACAGTGGCTGATAACCATAAGCTTGTAAAATTGACTTGGTACTTACTGGCTACTTATGTAAGGATATTTGTATGGTTTTGTGTATTCATCCCAACCTTGTTTCTATACTTTTTGGCATTGCCATTCCTACATCAGTTTCTGTGGGCATAGTGCAGCTGTGTGATTCCCACTGCAAATGGAGTACTCAACTGTACACTGAGCATCATCATGCCCAAAGAGCAAACACCATGATGACTTGGCTATTACACAATCCTGAGAAAAATGCTCTTTGAGGCTACATCTCTTACAGAGGTACACCATACTGGAGTAATTGATCATGAGGGTACAATGATCAACACGGATGAAGTTTGGTATAGTGGACATATCCATGTGCACATGACAATTGCCTGTAAGAATATCTGGGTGGTCAGAATAATGTTCATGGTCGATTTTAAGAACACAACCCTAAGATGAGAGAACCGTCACAATGGTGTAATTGTGTAGTTCTCTCAAAACAACATGTACTATCAACCACTTTAGATTAGACCCAGCAGAATGAACAGGAATCATTTCGTGTTGAAAACTAAAATAGCTCCATATTTACTGTTTCCTAAGTGTTGGAGACACACCAGAGAACCATTACCTAGTTCATCCTTGAGTGAACTGATAAGGAAGAAGAAGGCACTTCAAAATGAACAGACTGTGGTCTGCTCTGCAGTTCATTGGTAGTAGGCATAACACTAGTCTCCTGCCTTGAGTCTCCAGGGAGACAAAGAAAAAAAAACACTTTCAAGGTTCTCATGGACATAGGATCGCGACTAAGCACTAAAATGAAAAAGCACCATAAATCCATATATATACATATATATATATATTAACAAAAACTATACTTGAAAGTTGAATAATAGAAAAGGGTCCACAATTCATGCATACACACACAGCTGCCAGGCTCGGCCCCACTGACAAGTTGAATAAAAGTAGACTGAAACATAATGTATTGTTTTGATAATTAAGAAACTAGTGTTTTTAAACTCAGACATCAATAACATGTACATAGATCTGTCAATTGTATAAATACTTGATCTCCTTAATACCTTGAATATTAATTTAGATTATTATTCTTTTCTTTCTATATTTTTACTGAAATTGTTTTGGCAGATATCATATTTGTGCAATGAAAAGTGACAAATGGTCGTTATATTAGAACAGTTTGTTCTGCCATCTAGCGAGCAGAAATGACACTTATTTATGAAACATGGAGATAATATGCTTATAAACTGAACTCACTGTTAAGTAGCAGTTTTCCTTTTTATTATTTCCCATAAAAATGTGTGTGGTAGAATAACAAAATAATATTACTGTTATACAACCTGTAAAACATTCGATGATTGCACATCGGTGCTGAAATAAGGCTATAACTCAACTTTAGCAGTAATTTGCAAGTATCCTAGAGTAATAGATTGAATGCGGCGGCCATTTTTTTCTCGGCCCATCTCTAAATACTGTTACGACAGCGGAAGTCACGTGACTCTAGTAACACGTCATGAGATTCTAGAAGGATCACGTCTGTTCGTGGCAACTCTAGTATTCTCTATGCACCATCTATCTTTGTATATATATATATATAAGCCGGCAAAAAAGTGACGGCATGAATAATTGCAGATTGAAGAGATAGAGACAGATAATCCAGTCAAGTTGTAAGTAAAGTGCGTGAATCGTTATGAATTATAGCATGTGTTGAAGTTAAAGTGACTGTGGAAATTAAGTGTATTGTGAAGTTGTACTGAGAAAGAATAAACTAGTTTTATTTAAAGAAAGAACTTGTATCGCTGAAGTTTTTCGGAAAGAATTTCTACGGAAAATTAACCAACGACCAGAGACGTAACACTACTAAGCACTATCAAGTTTTATTTATTTTTTCTCTGCTTCAGTCCAACATTATAAGCCTTCCCTTGTATTTCAAATTTCTTTGAAAAGAATTTAAGACAATGTGGAATCAGTTCATAAGTGAAAGTTTCAGACACACACTGACATAATATAAAATTTAACAGATTGAATGAATGCTGTATTATGATATACACATAGTCTAGATGTATTCTTTTGGGTGGTGTTTCAAGCTGTGAATTGAAGGTTCAAGATTCGAGATGCAACATGCCATTCAACAGGTTCTGTACTTTCAACTGTCAAGTAGTACAACTGTGACAGTTATTCCTACTATTCTGTTGAGTAGTCACATAATCATTGGGTGTTGCTGATTAGTTGCCCTCCCTCTGGTCAGTAGTTTTAAATTGGGTATGACTGTGCCTAAACCTTAGGGTCTTAGACCTGATTATGTAGCCCATGTGTCACGTTAGGTAGTGTTGCGTTAGCGAGGTCACGTGACTAGTATCACGCCACGTGTTTTTAGAAATATCCTGTTCCTTCAAGAATGCCCTAGCATTTACTAGATATATGTTAGTGTGGTATATATATATAAGACGCTCACAACGTGACGGGACAACAGTGTAATGAGTAATTGAATGTATGCGGACAAAATAGCGACACAAGTCCTTACTTAATAAAACTGGTTTATTCTTTCCGAATGCAACTTTACGATACACTTAATTTCAACAGTCGCGCTATAACAAACGCTATATCTCACGTGGCCAACACTAAAGTTTCGTTGGAACGAAGTTACGGAAAATCAACTAACGAACGGAGACGTAACAGTAGCATTTAGTATGGAAATACCATTAGTGATACCAATCTACATAACATAGCTTGAACTGTAGATATAAAATCATTACATATATTAATACTGGAACAATTAAATATAAAGTTTTTGAACTTGAGACTCAATAGATTATGATTATGAGCTTTAACGGTCTACATTGTCACTACTACTGTAGTATGCAAGCATACCATGCGTATATACCTTCTTATTTTGAAGTACATATTTTATTTTTTTTGTTTATTCTGAGTTTATGCGGTTTTTGCATAACTGCAGTACCCAAATCGTTAGGTTGAAATCTTTCTAATTGTTTTTATTCCTTTTTATTCTCTACAGGTATTACCTGTTACACCAATTAGCGATATTGCTATAACACTGCACGTTGTGCAATAATGTTAATGATAGCAGTGTCACTTATCAGCAGAACAGATAATATGTAGCACTTTGGCTTCAACCATGATTAATGATAATGGCCAGTCAAGTGGATATCGCTGCTCACTATTAATTAAGAAAGGTTAGATTTAAAACAGTCTACACAGGACCTATAATAAGTTTGTTGATGGGAAAACATTTCAAGAGAACAAAATCTGTTGATCAATTCTAAGTCCATTATCAGGCGACTGTACAATACTGCAAGTATGCACATTGTTTGTCAACTGATTCAGATAAAGATTGCTTTCATTTTGTATGACATATCATGTCCAATCTATTCATTTATTTTCTTGAACCCAGTTTAGTTAAATTCAGACTTACTTTGTAATTTATCCTACTGATCTTCACGTTATAAAGCGGACCTACGTAACACTCTTTGAGGAAATCAGTTAACCTGAGAATATCACACTAGGATAGTTTAAATCTAGAAAACATCTAATATTGTGCTCGATAACAAAAATTTATTTTGAGAAAAGTACAAGATAAAGTAGAGTATATTTTTAGTTACTCCAAATCTTAGTTTTAGAATGTTTGTATATATTTTTTGTTTAATTTAATATTTACAACATACAAATATTGTTGATATTTGAAATATTATATTCTCCATCACCCTTTAATTGTTCTCTTTCTGTATACGCACCGACATCTATATAATTTCCCATATCTACCTGTATAAGAGAATAAATAATTTTTACAATTTTTCTTGTGGACCAGCAACGAATAAGTTATTTTTCCGTCAGATGGCTGGAAAGCTTCTAAATTCTAACTAAGAGAAATGTGCTACTTGTTTCGGAAGAAAGTGTATGATACTATACTAATAGTAATAGGTTATAACGTGTAAATAGTTGAGTGTATAGTATTGAAAGGAAAACAAAAACTTGAGTTGAAATATCAACAGTGAGTAACGAATCAATAAAACCAAGTTATGAATTATAACGAACATAAATGCGCCTGGGTAATCGATTTTGTTACTCCTGCAACAAGAGTTTGGGGTGTTATGAGTATTATTGGTGAGTTCTACTTGATTACTTCTAAGTTCTAGTTATGCCAGTTGTGGTACTGAATGACATGTACTAACAAGGTTTTCAGTGTGACTAGTGCTCATTGGTCTTACCTCTTTAACGATATGGCTAAGCAGAACTTTTGAAGTAAAGTTAACTTATTTTTTGCTAACATTCTACAAATTATTTTGGAAGCTAATAGGTCTAGTACTGATAGTAGTACATGACTATTATTACTACTGCTACTACTGGAAGTTAAAGAAATTGTGATGTTAACTGTTTGTGGTTCAAAATTTCTTACATATGATGAAAAGCACTTCTGCCCATGCAAACATAATAATAATACTACATAGTACTTTTTAAAGTGAAGTCGTGATTATTGTATGACTTTTTTATTTGAAAAAAAAAAGGCCAAAAACCATAAGCCACACACAGTAATAGTATTAAGTAATACATATACTAATGATATAGAAACTAAGAAAGTGCAAACTAGGTTTAAACTTTCAAATTACGTAATTACTAAACGACATTAATTGTCCTACCATAAATATATCGTTTCATATTAAAAATCTAATTATTACAATCGCAATAAAATTATCATATAGAATAAAGTAATAGAAGAGCAACTATAATCTGAATCAGTTAAACTTTATTAAAATATATCAGAAAATAATTTTAAAGAATGCTATATCATTTCTATTATTAGTGTGTGGCACTGAAAAAAATTTGAATATAGAGAATGAAAGTAAAAACTAATATCACACAGTGCATCTAAAACTTTTTTTTAATTGAAATCCTTGTTTGTGTACATTGAAAAGAACCTAAATCCTATGTTAATAAACAGCCTATTTCACAAATATCTATTTTAATATTTATATCTAGTTTGAAAAAAACTTGTTACTTGTAATATTTGAGGCCCTATATCAATTCATAAAATTTCTATTAGTTTTTGAGAAGTTGAATTGTATTACCTTTAGTTCTACAATCCTGGCTTCCTTATCATAGTTACTGTGTTGTAACTGGTTGCTATTTTATTTTTTACCTTTTTCTGTATCCTATACAAATACTAATATTTTTCCCATAATATTGATATTAAAAATAATAATGACATGGTACTCCAGACGAGGTCTCCTCAAAGTCTTGTACAAAGTGAGAGTAACCTTTTCTCTTGACACTCATGTTTGTATGGATCTCAGTACTAAGTGTTATGCAGTCACCTTGCAAGACACTCAGCTGGAAATTTAATTTATGCTTTCCCCAATGATCTTACTCATATCTTCTTCTGCTTCTACATGTTACCATCACTTTTATACAATTAACATAACAGGGACAATTTGGTCCTACATGATTGACCCTATACATCCACCCCCTAAGAAAAAGTAAACACTTAAATCCACATTTTTTAAGGAAATAATTTATTTCCCTCTAAAACTCTTGTAAAATGACAGCCACCATCTGTCCTGTTGTCTTTGGAATAGACAGCACTAAGAAAGGTTATTCAGAGGTCTTTATCCTGTCAGTCTCAAAGATAATCTAAATTTGAATAAGATCACCTCTTACCCTTTTCTCAAAAGAAACTAGATCTTATCCCATAAGATAGTACTTCCATTCCTGGAATCATCATAGTAGCCCTTTCTATGGAGGAACACATGGGCTGCTGTCTCATGATGTAACTTGATTGTTTACTTTAAAAAAAAAGCTTTTGTTGTATGATTTATTGCTTTATTATGCTAGTAAGACATGGTTCAAAGAACAATAAAATTAAGTCAAAGTAGTTGTGAAAAGGTTAAGAGGTCTCAAGATGTTGGGATAAATATGGTTACAAAGGAGTTAAGAGTCAGTAAAACTGACAGAATCTATCTACATAGGGTTAAAGCCCTGGGAAAAAAATTGTATGGTCCTGGAGGAGCTTTATATATAATTTTAATTCCTCACATTTTTTGATTAGAAAGGTTTTCAATGTTAGTTTATAATGACAATGAATTTTTTGCGTCATAATTTATTTCCACTTCGATTCATAAATTATAAATATCATTATATATTTTTTAAATATTAAGAACCACCAAGATAACGGGAACCCTTCCATAATTCAAGGCTATAAATCATTCCTTTTAGTATCCAACATTATCATTGGTAATTACTCTTGTTGTGATTCATATTTTTCATTCCCTAAAGCATCCAATAAGTACAGGCCATAAACACAACAGCTTTTTAATTCAAGAAATATTTTTCCAAAAATAGGCATAGTGGTGATATGTAGTCATTTTGTATATGCAACTAGTTAGCTTAATTAGTAAAAAAGGAAATGTCCAAACTATGCTGTATAAATCACCAGTTTTGAAGTGCTGAATATTGTTACTTAACATTCTATATTTTTAATAAAAGTAGGTACAAATATACATCTTCAGTTTTTTTTTAATGTGTCAGGGACTTTGATGCCTGAGTTAGAAGACAATCTCTTTGACTGGGTTATATCTTTTCTATAATGCCTATATTGTATTTTTCACAAGGAGATTGAAATTGACAAAGAGATTTGTATGAAAGTTGATTTCCAGCAAGTTATTCCTTGGTAGCTCTTTTATGTTGTGAATGTTGAGATTAGAGTATCAAAAGTAAAAATAAATCTGTAACTTTAAAATTGGAAACAAATTTTTATTTCAGTGTTTTGGGGTGTAGGAGCTGATGTAGCTTTTCATAAGCATGACCTGGGAGTTTATGTAATGTAAGTAATACAACATACATTTTTCTTCTGCTGTAAAATACCATATAGTAACATTATCATGTACTATTATTTTCTATTCTAATATTTTTGTTATTTTCAACGAAGACCTGGATTACTAATTTGGTGAATTCATAATTTTGATTGCAACAGATTTTGTCATATTGATGTTCATTTATATTGAAATATAGGAATAGCATTTTGCTGATGTTTATGAAAAAAAAAGTACTACCAGTATGTATATCAAAACTCCCAAGAAATATAGGCAAAGTTTTTTGGAAATTTATATATTGTGAGATAGGGCATGTTTTTTTTTGTGTGAATGTTTGGTCAGAATATGCAAAAATGCTTTCCAGTGTTTATGAATTATTCACAAACTTACAGCTAGGGTAAGTTGTCTCAGAGGTTGAGTTTTCTATTGGCTTAAAAGGTTTTAAATTTTTTTGTAGATAATCAAATCATGCTATTCTTGATATATTTTAATAGTGCTTGAGGCTTTTATTAGATATTTAACAAAGAATATGTAGAGCTTACATGTGGTTGCCAAAAGGATGTTTATAGAATCAAAAAGACATGCAAGAAATCAGTTATGAAGTCTTACAATCAGTACACCTTTTTAACGAGCATAGAGTAATTTTATGTAATTATACTTATAAGATCTTTCAAATTAATTACCCCATACAGTCTTTTATAATTTTTATTTTCTAACCGGAGAACAAAATAATTTTAGTTTTTCTTCTCATAATTTCCTATAGAATGTCTGTTGAACAGATAAGTGCGAGTAAGAACCAGTAAAAAATAGAAAAAAGGATTAGCATAGATTTTGAAATCCTTTCTTTGATGACAATCTATCCATTTCAAGTAATATTGTGTGGTAACAATCACATGAAGTGTTCATACCACCATTCCACTAGTTATCTCTAGAAATAAATTTTTTCTAAGTTACTGAACTAACCTAATTATTAATTGGTTTTTGAGTTTATAAAATATATTAGAGAAGAATGCTCTAAAAAGTTAGTTCTTTTAGCATATGCTGTATGTGAAGAAAACTGTAGGTGTTATGGAACATTCCCTGAACAATAAACAACATTCAGCCTTGTTACCGCCCTTTCTGTGTTTTCAATCTCAAGAGTTTAATCTGATAAAATGGCTATTCATTACTTATAAGATTCATGTACCAGTTTTATCCTAACAAGTTGATAAACACTAATTATTCAACAGATATTCATAAATTATATATATATTTTTTAAATGTTTGAAAAGTACATACTGGTTTACAGATTCATAATATCCAATGCTATGTATGTGTCCAGAAATAATAATACAAATAAACATACAATCAAATGATACACAGAAATTTTTCATAATGAAATAATTTGTAGATGGGAAATAAACTAAAATATGAACTTAAGAAAACAGTTGTTTAATTTTTACAATAGTTAAAAAAAAAGTTTTATTACAATGACTAAGTGAAATCTTTTAATTATTCATTAGTTTAAGAAGTGAAATTTTGTTTTATCACCAATAAATCTGCCCCTCAAATAAAGTTTGTAATTAATTTTTAATAACAGTAGCATATTTTGCAGTGTATCTTTTTTGTAACTAAAGGAAAATTTGTAAGTAATTTTACAGTGATGAATCCAGAATATGCTTTAGCATTTCTGTGGAAGCTGAGCACTGTACGCATAAAAGAGAGTGGGTATAGGAGTCTCCCTCTCATTCCTGCTAGGGGGTCAATTTGGGGGAGTAGTAGTGTAAGCATTTTATGCATATACTGATGATATAGGATCCCTAGAAGAAACTAGGAAACAACAAATTTTGATTAATGTAGGTTTTAAATGCTCATCATCTATGAACTACAGAAAATGATTTTATTCATGGAATACAATACACAAATTCCCCTCTTTCTCCTAAATTAGTATCACAACCTCATAATCACAAAATCAGATATGCTATATGTAGAATAGTCTATTTTTTCAAGTTCAGGTAATTACAGTGTGTATTACTATACATTTAATTTGGAATATTGGAAACATATGATTGGGTGAATGAACTAAGGATTTATGTAGGTATTTTGAATCACACTACACAATTTTTACCATCTGAAAATTAAAAAAATGATGCCATGTTTTTTTACTGATTTTAGCCTTTATTTTTATAAATTCATATGATTAAATGAATTCTCTAGGGAGATTTGATAAACCTCTCGAACCACATTTATGTCACACATATTAAAGTTTCTCATTTATATATGAAGATGTTGTAATAGCTTGTATGATTATTGTTTAAGTTAGACTGAATGTACATTACTGTATCAAAAGAATTAGCACTGTAAAAACCTGAGCTAAATGCTGCACAAAACATTATATTCAGAAACATTTTCTCTGCACAATAAAGGGCTATTACCTTATGCCACTGTCATGTAGATCTTTGCGCATGCCAGAAGGCTTGAACGAAGCTCCTATCTTTACATACATTAATGTGCACTGTGTCAGCTTATGATGTAATCATTAGATTATAGCCCTCCACCAATAGGAGGGTGACACCCTATATGCACAGTAATCCTTATGAATACTAGGATTTGAACAAAGTCTCATTCTTTCCTTGTCTGCAAATATGTTCAACATTGTTTTTAGAATAACTGTATTTTTGCATTGCTTTTGTTCTTTATCTCTTAGTTAAACCTTATTGTGTTAACTCTTCTTGTTTGTACTGTAGTACTTTTACTGTACACTTAACTTAATCTACTATACAACCCCAAAAAAAAGGTTTTGTGGATCATTTTGACAATGAATGCCTAGATTTACCTTTCTTCCACTTCCCGAGGTCCTGACACTCCACATCAGAAGCTCTCTCCTACTGTTTCAGTATTGAATGATGGTGCTTTGATGGTCAGCGATGTTACTGCAATCTACCATTATGCATCAGGTGATTGGTTCTACTCTACATTCTTTATCTCAGATTCAGGGTTCTTGACCTCTTGCTTCTGTCAAGTTTACCTCATGTTTTGACAGATCTGATGAACTGTTTCTACTTCCTGCCATTTCTTCTGGTTCTTCTCTTCCTGACAAGGAACAGATAATTGTACCTTTGACCTTCACTGCTTTGGTTACTTAGGTATGTGACATTTTTTTCTTGCTCCAGTTGTTTTTTGATGAGTCTTGGGCTACAGAGCTGCATGAACCTCTTCCTTCTGACTGTCTTCTCTTTTCCCTCCTCCACCTCGATATTCATGTTCATGTTTATACCTTTTTTTCTTTCACTTTTGCACAGGCTCGCAACAGCTTTGTCTTACTCGACTTCTTGACACTTTTTCTATGGCCAATGATCAAGGTTCTTTGATTTTTCTGAGCTTCAGTTGCTTGAGTTTTTCCTTCCAGCTTAGTGATCTCTCCTTTCACTTACATTGTCTCCCACTTGTCCTCAGTCTTTTCATCTTTGTCTTGCTCTTGCACAGCACCTACATTATTTTTTTACATTTTATCTTTTCTCAAAAGCTCTACAGCATGCCATTGACAGCTTCACTGAGGACATACACTTTTACCTGTTTGCCACATTGACCTTGATCTCTTCGTCTGTGGTGTTTTAGTTAACATGGTTTCTGGTATTTTCTTGGTGACATACTGCACGGATTTCCTCTTTTTGATGCTGTATTTTTAGAAAGGAGCTCATTTTTGTAATTTCTATATTGACATTGCTACCTTCCTCCCCCAATATCTTAGCAATGTGGGATTCTAACTCACTGCTGGACAGAGAGATGAGTAAATGTTCCTGAAATTTACATTTTTCTTACTTAAAATTGTATTGCAGACAGTTACCTCTCTGCACAGACTTCCATCCTTCCTTCCCTCTTCTGGTGTATTTTTTTTACCTGACCAAGAATGAGTCTGTTCAACTGTGCATATAGGATGTGTTACTCTTTTATTGGTGGAGGACTGTATTCTAATGATGATTATGTCATTAGCTGGTGCAGAACATATTATAGGGGTGGGATCTTTGTCAAGCCTCGTGGGTGAGCATAAAAATCTTCACGCAGTGTGTGTGGTAATAGCTTTGTTGGGTAGAGAGGTGAGTAACTATAAGAAATACATTTTCAGGTAAGGAAAATGTTACTTTTATCATGTGTTTATTTCAAACTGTTGAAAAATATTAGATATCGATACAATACATAACTTCCTCTCATAGATATAGCTATTCTCGTTCAGTGCTGCCCTTTATATCCAAAAATGTTTTCGCATGCCACAAGCCTTGCACTTCCACTTACCCACAATTATTGTGGTTCCACTGTGTCTTGCATGCATATCGTCATGTGACAACCCTCCACCAATTGGAGTGCAAAACAACCTTCTGACACATTTGGCTCCCTCTATTCGATTTTACCAAACTATAACTTCATGTTTAGCAGTGCTACAGTGAATATGTTTTTATTGTGCTCTATTCACATCTATTTTTCTTTATTAATATCATACGAAGTAGAAAAATAATTTCTCAATTTTACTACTGTTTTCAATTTTATGGTTTTCTCTGCAAACTTCCCTGAGCCCTTGCAAATCCCTGTTCCTGTTCCACGTTCGACATCCTCCTGTCCTTTACCTGTTCCTCCCACTAGGAGTTCCACTGTTCATTGTTTTTAACGATGCAGGTCTCATTGTTGCCAGTAGTACCAGTGACTATCCTGTGGGTTACAATCCGGTAGGGGCTCGTTGACCAATTTTGTTTACATATGGCAGGAATTTGTTACCAATTGTTGGATTCTTCAGGTCTTGTCAAAAGGATTTGTCATCCTTTCTTTTCCCCACCCCCACTGTCTCCCATACTCATTACCTTTTCAACATCTATCCGAGGCAGTCCAGACTCTTCTATTACAGAATGTTATCAAGCCTGTCAGCCATCCTTCCCCAGGCTTTTTGTGGTACCCAATAAAACCTGAGACTGGCATCCTGTGATCAATCTGTTCTGCCTCAATCAATTTCTGGATCTTCCCCATTTTACAAAGGAGACTTTTCTTACCCTAAAGCGGGCTTTTTTCCAGGATTGTGGTTGACCAAGGTAGATGTCTCGAATGCCTATTTACACATTCCCATTTCTCATCAGTGCAGACCCTATCTTTGGTTTGTCCATCAGAGGGCTGTGTACCAGTTTTGTGCCTTACCCTCTCCTCCATCATCCTTTGGAAAAAATTCTTCAAGTGGACATGCGACTACTCCTCATATGTTCATCTCCCACTATTTGCATCAGGTGACTGTTTCTTCTTTGTTGGGATACCATGTTCCACTTATTGCTAACCATAAAAAAAAGAAAAATTTAATGCATCAAAAGTCCACACTGTACAGCCATGCTGCTGTCATAAAATACAATATTCTCATGGCATATAATGCACACTGTTGAGATGGGGTGTTCCATAAGATTGCAAGTAGGTTTTTTTCTCCTTGTGATATATTTGATACATAAATATACCTATTCTGGACTGTACTATCCCATCGACTTACATGGGTAAAGCAGAAGGGGATAGCTGCCCATCCCTGCCATCCCTTAGATTGAATAAATCAGGGGTGGTCTGCTTTTCAACATAAGGTTTTGGTGGTCACCAGTTGTACTGTCTCCGGTGTTGGCCTTTCTCCGGACTCTCCATTGCATTTTATCCTCCTTGTTATTAAAGTGCAATATGGGGGTCCTTGCCACTTTACAGTTCCAAGCTGCTGAGAGGTAACCTCCTGAATGTAATCTTATGCAAATAATTAAATATACAACTACATTCATTTGAGAGTAGTGCAGTGGTGTTCTGCTGCTGTAGATTATGCTGGTCCTCCATTCATGTGCACCATCTCTGTTGGGTAGGCTTCAAGGATTGATATTTTTCTAGGCTTCTGTTACTATCCGAAGAGTGAGGTTGTGTATCATTTATAGGGCCAATCCACTTCCATGAGGTGGTAACCAGAAGTTAGTAGTCCACTCCAATGCTGTACAGTCCTGTCTGAGGAGATGAGGTTACACATACCCACTAATAATAAAAATACTCCATCTATGTATGGTGGGCTCAGAGGGTTGATGTTGTGCCCGGCTTCTGTGACTGTCTGGAGGGTGTGGTTGCATATGATTTTAGTGGCAATCCACTTCAGTGCAGTGCTATCCAGAAGTTTGTGATGCCCTCCAATGCTTACAGATAATCAGTTATATCAAGTACTTGAGTTAATCACCCATCTCTGTTTATCAGTAACTTGAACATTCCTGTAGTTACATTAAGGTGAACTTTTCATTCAGTGTGACTTTTTTTTTTCTGAAGTGAATAAGGCTTCACATTAGACTTATTAGTTTTTAAAACTTAAGAGAATTAAATATGTTAGTATTAGAGTAACTGTAATATCAATACAGTTATAATGGGCTAAATAAAACATGTTAACTTTCCGAAGACTGGATGCTATACTGTATGATTGAAATAAAGCAGTTAGTTTTATATTATAGTTGTGTTTTTACCATGTTAATAACCAGTATTTAGCATTGCTTATCATTTATACAACAGGTAAAGAGATGTTGATAATAACTTGCATTTGACATTTTGTTTCTGCAATTTTATGGAGAATAAATGAAACTTTTGTAATGTTAAAAGATGTGCAGGAGAACTAATTTTTTAAAGATAAGTAGCCAAATTGATCTGAACAACAAAAAATTTACTACTGGAAAAAACTCAAGTGATTTTGAGGTAATTTGGTCTTGCTGATGTCAGAATTTATTAATCACCTCTAGATTTTGAGTTATTGTAATGTCAACACTTTTTCAGCACTATGTGAAATACCATTTAATTAACTCTGTCCAATAGATGTATGCTGTGAAATTAAGTTTATTTGGACAGTTTAATGGGAAAATCATACATTTTTGATAATTTCAAACATTGACTGTATTGTATTAGTGTAAAATTCCAAATGTATTGTTCATATATTCTGTTTGTTCTCATATAATTGTAGTGAATTACACCACTTTTGCTTTATTCCCTTGCTCACTTGCTCTGCTCGGGAATCAAGAAACCCTCACGTGCTCAGTTTGCGGGAATACTCGAGAAATCATTCAACTGAGCATAAAAGGGGCAGAGTCAGATGCCTCTCACTCACTCACTTGGTCACTTAGCCTCGCTCTGTGCTTAGTCAAAACAAAGTCTGATTCTCTTCTTTGCATCATACCCGAGATATAATTAAAATCTGCAAAGCTTTATTTTTTAAAATCTTGCAGACTCTAGTTCTGTAAACATGATTTTTTTTTGATTTTTTAGAAAATCATTTGAAATGCCTCCAGTTTAACTAAAGATTGAAAATGCAAAAATCACCCAAACAGTTTCTGTTACATTTATGGAAAATGTATTAACAGTTTCATGAAGGAAAAACATCACACATCTGGCTTGACACAGTGGCTGAATAAGAAGAGAGCAAGTATGCCATTTGCAGTTCCCATGATATGGCATGAGCCCAAAGATAATCTAATTATATTTGCAGGACTAATGTATCTGGATATTCAGGCAAAACTAAACAATGCATTAACTATCCAGATATTGCATTTGCAAAGGAACCAGTACCTCATGGGGATGGTCTTCGAGTGCCACATCCACCAGTGGATTGGGAAACAGAAGAATTATCCTTCAAAGAAGACAATGAATAATCATCATCCTCTTCATCAAGTAATTCTATTCCTGTGACACCTGAACATAAACTGCCTCATCTGATCCCACAAGAAGAGCTAAATGATCTGATTCGTGACTTGTCTCTATCAAAGCAGCAGGGGGAACTTCTTGGCTCTCATTTACAGCTATGGAATTTATTAGCTCCAGGAACAAGAGTTTCAGTTTACTGAAGTCACCATCAAAGTCTTGCTTCTCACTAAAGCATGCAAGATGCCTTGTGTTTCTGTACAAATGTTGGTGCACTAGTGGAAGAATTAGCTACTGAACATCATCCTCAAGAATGGTGACTTTTTATCAGCTTATCTAAAGTTAGTCTGAAAGCTGTAAGTTTGCACAATGGTAACAATAAGCCATTGATTCCTGTTGCGTATGTTGTGAACATGAAAAAACTTATCCAAGCATGTAGATTATACATGAGGCTATCACATATGATCACCATAAGTGGAACATGTGGTGACGTACAAGTTATTGCAGGGACAGCCAAGATGATAAAAATCATTTCAAAAAGAAGGAATGGCCAGTGAGAGAAAATTACATACCAGGGAAACAGAATATTGAGTATCAACCTTTTGTGAATCCTCAAAATGTGTTTCTGCCCCCATTTCATATTAAACTGGGATTCATGAAGAATTTTGTAAAAGGAATGAACAAAGATGGTAATGGTTTCAGATATCTGTCTGAAATATCTACAAAAATCAGTTAAGCAAAAAAGAAAAGAGGTATCTGTTGGGTCACAGATTTGGGAAGTACTGATGGATGATGATTTTGAAACTGTACTCAATCAGAAAGAACTTGCTGCCTGGAAATAGTTCAAACTGGTTGTCAGAAATTTGTTAGGAAATGAGATGAAAACTATGCTGTGATGAATTATGATATGCTTGAGAACTACAGGAAAATGGAGTCTAGGATGTCACTAAGAATGCATTTCTTACACTCCCATTTAGACTTCTTTCTAAATGATCTAGGTGTAGTGAGTGATGAGCATGGTGAGTACTTCAACAAGATACTTCTACAATTAAACATCAGTATCAAGGATGATGGAATCCTGCAATTACTGTTGGTTCTTACAACATGAAGCTAAGAACATATGCAAAAAGTGCAACAAGTCAAGCAGATATTTTGTGAAAAAAATAATACCATAATGAAAGTTTTGATCCTAGCCTGAATGTATTTCAGTATATAATCTTATTATACTCCTTGATTTTTTAAACTGGTATTGTTATCATGTATTGTGTTTGAACATTCTTAAATGCAATCTTCATTGAATAAATAAAGTTATTAAAGAAATGATATGTAACAATATTTAGAATAAATCTGTTATAACTCAAAAACTAGAGGTGATCAGTAATTTTTCAAAATGATTTTTAGAATCAGCATCATCAAATTACTCAAACTGTTGCATTTTTTCTAGCAGCTGAGAAAAATTGTTTTTTGTTGACCAGTGATGTCAAAGGAGGACTGTTATCTGTGTGCAGATCAACTTTTTATTTTCCCAACCTGAAATATATTGATACTGACAGATTTGTTGGAATTTTTATTTGTTGTATTAACAAAAAATATGCACACACACACACGTTTGAGTATTGAACTTTTGTAGTTTACTAGATACAACATATACAAATGCTATCATGAAATTGTTTGTTTGTTTTCTTCAGAATATCTGCTGTCATACTTACTTTCCTAGAAACAATGTTTGTGGTGAACCTTTTCTTGGAAGCCTCTTTCAGGTAAATGTGGTTACTTTGGCACTAATTATAATTATATACTAGCATGTAAGAGAGCTAAACTTTCTATACAGTATACTGTATGAATTAATTAGAGTTTTTCTGTTATCTTGTCTTCGCTGCATTTATTTTGATAATAGTTTTGCAGTACAACTATATTTAGTTCTCAAAAAACATCAAATACTGTTAAGTATAATCTTTAAATATATCCCTGAAAACTTGTACTTTACAAATGCATGTAGGAAACTGCACAGTAAATCAGGACAGTAATGTAACATTTGAATACTGCTATGTTATTTTTCAGTTTAAAAGTTTGCATAAAATTTTCAAATTATCACTGCATTAATAACGTAGTTAGCAAAGTTAAAGATACATGTAGTACATTTCCAGAGAGATGGATATTGACAAGAGTATAGAGTTGTTCAAAATATACAGCTGTTCCTCACAAGTTGTGCTTTTATCATAAGTTTAAATTTTGTTTTGCAAGTACATCTAATTATAAAAAAATTTTGTTTCTAACAGGGATGAAGATAAAGATGGCTGTTTTCGCTGTTGGAAGAGACTTCAGTGGCTAGACCTTTGGAAAAAGTCTTTGCTTTATGCAGGCATGTCAGTTCTGTGTTTTGTCAGGCCTTCAACTGTATGGCTGGCAACAGTTGCAGGTACAACAATCTTTCTAGAAATTGACATAGTAAAAGATTAAAGTGTTTGTTACTTTTAGTTTATGGAATTTTTATTCTTAAATTTAACATTACTAGGATGAAGGTTTTTGTTAAGATAATTAAGTTGTATTTAACCACAGATGATTTTAGTCAAATAATGGGAAAGTCTAAAACATTATTGGAAATAAAAAGGTTATTTACAAAGGTGATTTACATCTTTTAAATCAATATGCATCATGAATGATTCTTTTGTACCTGACATTTTCTGTTATACTTTTGAACATCTTCACCACATTAGTGAGTTGCAAACTTGGCACATTGCCCATGATGTAAACGTTGTTTATTTAGCTTGTAGTACATATACTTCTATTAATAGATCCTGGTTTAGTGCATTTTTTGTTTCTTTAGTTCTGAATAAATTGTGAATGTAAACCTTGACCTTTGTATTCTATACATTGTAAAATGGCTGATGCTGACATCAGTACTTGCTGTTCTATAAATTCTTTGTTTTCCTTTTCATTTTTGCTTCTTGATAAAGTCACACACATGCATCTCTCTTTATATGTAGGTAGTGCTGTAATTTATTTTTCTTAAATAATATTTTCGTTTTTTATAAATGCTAAACCTGTAGGGTATATTATCCTTAATGTTTGCCAATACAGTCCTTTCAACTTATTTTACCAATTTGTACAATACTTGGTATTATAAAATATAACATTCTATTCACATTTGTCTTAAATTAATCATGTGTGTCTTTTTTTCATCGGTGGAAACTACTAACGTAGTACAATAGCTACAGTTCGTAATTTTAAGTTTTTAATTTTGTCTTGCATCTTCCTGTTCAAGATTTCCTGTTTTCCTGAAAGTATTGACATGTCATATATGAAAATGTGGAAACATGAGGTTGTTTGGTAAAATATCAAATATTACTTAAACTTTGAGCCTGAAAAATAGACAAGTTGAGAGGTGAAACTTGAATGCTTTTTGGCAAACTGCTGTCCATAAAAGCTGTAGTGCTGTACTAATTCTTGAATGTTTATTATATTCAATGCGATATATATATATCAAGTCTGATTAACAGTTTTATTAAGTGGGATAACTTAATTGTTCCAGTAAGTTTGTTTTGAATAACACATTTTATATCAACTTTACATAATAGGTTTAAAGAGTGGTAGTTATAATTAAATGTTAAATTAAAATAAAGCTCCCCCAGTAGACCAGCAGTAAGTCTGCAGGCTTATGATGCTATAAATTGGATTTCAATACCCGTGGTGGGTAGAGCACGGGTAACCCATTGTGTAGCTTTGCCCTCAATAACAACTAAATCAAACTTAAAATAAATTTTTCTGGTATATTTTTTTCTGCCTCTAGGTGTGATGTTACTAATCCTTGCCATCCTATATCTTCTAATGACTTATAAAGTGAAAATTGAATCTGGTGATTCTTTGCTTTTGCAAAAGGAGGGATCCTATGACAGGTGATTCATGTTTCATTTGAACATAGTTTACCTTGCAATATTCTTTGCCTAATGATTTTACTGATCAGGTAAGTGTTACTTAAGGGAGTGCACTGTTAAACCCTAACCTCATAGTTTTATGTCTGTCATATCCCAGCCAGCATGAAGACCCTGGTATTGGGCAAGGCCTTGAATATAGAGATATAGTGTGATTGACATATTATTATAAACACTTCTTTACTTTCGCTCAGAAGTTCTTAATTAACCTCAACAATTTTTAGAGTTAGACTCAGTAAGTGCTCTAGCTAAATGTTTCTTTAAATTATACTTTATTTAACTTTTTTGAATCTTTATATGTATTATTAAGTATTATTTAATTGTGTCTTTTGAGATGTAATTTGGAACAACTCTCATTTTTCATTACAGCTGAGTTGGTGTAGATTTATAAAATCTTACCCTAGACATCTTCAAAACATAAAAGTACTTTTAATAGAAGAAAAGAATGAAGCGATAATTTTTATTATGCAAAACTTTTTTTTTATGAACAAATAGTTTTGTGTCTTTTAAGTGAAGTTAAGTTTAAGTGATAATATATTTATTTTTATTACTTTTCATTAACTTATTATATTTTATTATTATGAGGATTATGTACACTGTTAGCTTAGTACATTGATATAGGACCAATGTAAATCTTATGTATTGGCATACCCTTATGAGATATTATTGGGATTATGACCAAAAGTATTGATAACAGTGAGTTTACTCTAGTGTTTGATGATATTTGATACTCCTAATTATACAGGTGTATAAAAGTAGGTTAATTTGTAGTTGTGATCTATGTATTGATAATATCACTATTAGCAGTTTATTATATGGTTACTGTTTCAGATATGAAGATCTGCAAGATGAGATTGATGATAGTCTTCCAGAACCAAGAGATGTTAATGTTGGAGATCAGGAGAGAATACTCGAAATTTAACGTGTATAACAAGTCACTTAACACTGTTGCATGAGTGGTTTTTTTTAACCAAAGATTTTATATTTTGTGATACCAGTGAGCAAGGTGTTCTTGTTAATCAGTAAATAATTTGTTTTTGGTGGTAAGACAATCAACACTTTATCTTCATGTGTGTTTATAAACATTTTTCTTGATAAAATTAACAATTTTCAATAGATACCGGAGCATTCTAATGATCAAGTTAATGGAAAAGAATTCAAAAACAGCAATTAAAAATAAAATACGTTATATCCAACACTTAACTAAAACTAAATAATGTCAATTTTAAATGTACACAGTTAATTAAGTCTTGAGAGTTGCAAAGATGCAAGTTAACTTAACAAATATTGTTCTCAAGTTTCAGTATAACCATGTAATGTGGTAATTTATGTTTTTGTTTTGTTGTTCATGTTGGCCAGGAAAACATTCAGTTCTATGATTAAGAAGTTAGTTACAATTTTGGATTTTCAAGCAAAACTCCTCCTTATGGAGTGAGTGATTGTTGTCGTTATTTTCATTGTTTATGGTTCTTTATTAACTTTGAAATTATGTTACTTGTAAACTAATACAGTGGAAGATTAAAAAGCAATGTGCATTTTGGTACTGATCAAAGCAAATGGTGCTACAGTGCGTATACTGAATAACCATTACTTAACAGTTGTTTTACCTTAATAATTCCCATTGTCACAGTTTACCACTTTTGCTGAAATAGCAAAAAACTATAGGTTTTGAGATTGCCTGTTTTGTTTCTTGACAAACATTTCTTTACACTAAAGTATTAACTTTTGGGTAAAGCAAGTAATGAGATTGTCATTTTAGTTAAAGCCCTGAGAATGAGGCAGTTAAAAAATGTTATGATTCAACAGGATTGTGTCATTCAGTGATTGTGAATTCATAATGTGGATCATATGCATGTGTGTGTGTATATATATATATGCATAAGCAATTTTAATAAGAATCAAGTTTTTCATTTTTTAAGGAACTTCAATTGGCCTACAATAGGCAAACTGGTTGTGTGTCAGCTTTTCATGTTAGTCAACCTTCATTTTGCATTTATTTATTTATTTTCATTTGCTGTCTTTCTAAATGATAACACGTGTGTGATTTTTTTTCTTTTTTAGTGTTCATTAAGGAAGAAGAGTTTTGTTTTGATTGTCAGTCATATCATATCAATTCATTGAGTTAAAAAGTTTGTTCTTGAAAGGAGCTACCAAGTTTAAAAATCCATATGTTTTTGTCTGAAAGGTGTTTAATTTTAAAAATTAAAACTTCAGGCTTTGAAAACATTATTTTAAATGTAAATATGAGAGCAGTACATGAACTTTCAATTAACTTCCTTATAAACACCGTGTTCCAACTAACAGAAAAAATTGCTACATTGTTTCTTGCATGGTTTCTTTAAACCAACCTATTTTCTAAGGTTCCATGTGACTAAAAAATTTATTCATAGTTCCATTTTATGGAATCTGTATACCCATCTTCTCTCTTGGCTTCCAAGTGACAGAACAGCTTCTGCATTTTCATTTTACTTTTATCCACCTTCTTCTTGAACTTCTAAATGATAGAAAAATTTCTGCATTATGTAATTTGTAGAATCCTTTTATACACTTTCTTTGTGAGGCTTCAGGTAACAAAAAAGTTTTACATTGTCTGATTTTGTAGATTCCCTATATCCATCCTCTCCTTGAGGTTTTAGGGATCAGAAAAATTGCTACATTGTCATTTTGTTTTATTCTTTTAACCATCTTCCCTCTGATGTTACAGGTAAAAGAAACATTGCAGCTTTAATTCACTCACACTTCCTAATTCCCCATTGATTAACAGTTGTATTGTAACTGTTGCATGTAGATTATGAAGTTGTTGGATTTCTAATAGTGAATAACATGAATCAACAGTGTTGGTCATGAATAAACTGAAGGGGAGCAACCAGTTACTCTCCTTAAAAATCCCTCAGGCGAGCAGAGGGGACTCAGGAAAGTGATTGAAAATAACCATATAAGATCATACAAACACAAAAGTTAATTCTTATATGAAAAGAAGTTTTACCACAAAACTCCTTTGTGTTAACTTGGCACACTGAGTACATATTATGTAACACATTATATAACATATTTTACTAACATAATTGTGAACATGATAAAATTGGCACAAACGGAAAATGACAGTTTATAAAACTGACACAGAAACTAAAATAAGAGAATCTCTATAAGTATTGGCACTTCAAGCATTCCAAGTCATGGAATGCAACATACATACTGGTTCAGACTATTGTCGTCATGAGAGTTTCATTTCTGATTCTGAATACACGAGTGAAACATACTGCATATCATTATGCTATTGAAAGCATTCACTTTAAATACTGCACATTAATATATAATATATGAATATATCAATAATTTCAGACAAAGTCGTTGTGGATAGATTATTTAGAATCTATCTCAGGAAGTAAAATTCATGATTTTTTGAATCGCTGTTACTGCTATGCCTATGATTGGTTAACAGAACATGGATGCAAGTCACATTTTACTACTTGTACTAGTATCTATTTTATAGATTGAATATTAGCAGTGTATAGTCAGTGAAGGTAGAAAGTAAATCAATAATCCATCAATTATGAAGATTTTATCATATGACATATTTTTACTTCCAAGAACTCATGAATTAGCCTTTACCTGTGTGGCATGCATGCACTGACAGTATAGAATTGGAGACCATTTGTACCAACAATAAATTAAACTTTAATGGATACTAATGGCTTCACAATTAAATTAATAAATATTTACAGTTAATGGGTATTGACCATTTTTAACAGTTATGTTTAACAACATAAACTTTGTTAACTTATTTAATGTTTTAGTTTTTTTTCTAATGGGAATAAATAAAGAATTATCAGTTATCTTGACAGTTTGGTTGGGTCTTGATAGTTCCTGAGTTGCGAATATACAACTTCAGTAGCAGTGCTTTATGTAATGTTTCTAGGAACACAGATCATGTTTTTTCTGCTTCCCACTTAAACAAGAAAGTCCAGAATGCTACTGAATTTCCTTTTGCAACCAAGCATGCAGATAAAAACAAAATGGCAGAGCACGCTTTCAGTGCAAAGTGCCACCTGCAGTATTCAAGATATAATGGCCTTTTGAAAACACTGGGATTATTCATGTTAGAAATAGTTGTTGTTGATGTGTGGGATCTATCTAGTTTGAAGGCAAGCAACAAAATATTTGTCTGGAAATATTTCTAGGTAAGAGTGAGATGCATGCAGGCAGTCATTAGCCTCTTATAACTAGCTCTGTATGAGTGTTTTCACTTTTTGGAAGTATAAAAATCTTTAAAACTGGTAGTATTAAGTGTTATTAACTTTTTAGAATTTATTACTGAAAAAAAAAAGAGGTTTGTTATGACACCGAACTGGAAACAGTTTTTTAATTGTAAGTTAAGTATGTATGAGATGTAGAGATGCCAAATGTTTATAAAATGAATATTTTTATTGGAAATTTTCCAAAGTTATCTAGTTGTCAGCTCAGCTGGGTTTTCTTCCTTTTGATGAAGTGTCTTGTACATGAATAAGTAAAGATATGTACTTTGAAAAAGTTTCCAAGTTATGGTATCAATATGAGGAAAAACTTACTAATTGTTCATAATTTTTATAAATAAGTGTATATATATATATATATATACACACTATAAAAATGCTCACTAAAAGATTTATACTTCTACGTATCCTGGAATATACCATTTACAACAGGTTGTGTTTTATCGTATTTCATTTGTTGATTTTGGTACAAGGAGGACTGAAACCTGTTTGGTGCATATAAATTAGTATTTTGGGATTTTAGTCTCATCATGAGAATCTTTTTTTATGTGTTGTCAGGGAGTTATTAAGCTTTTAAAAGATTCATGAGAATCTTTTTTATGTGTTGTCAGGGAGTTATTAAGCTTTTAAAATTGAATTGTGCCAATTTTTAAATACCCATTATGTCTATAAGTTGTTTTTATACAGATGGAATTTACATGCACCTTTTAAGAAGACTATGCAAAATAGTTTTATAATTACTTCTGAAAATCAGAAGACTCCTTGGAAGCAAATCATATGATTAAATTTTGTGAAGACACTAAAACTTGCCTTCTTTGTGGGTTAGGTGTGCTATTTTTTTGAAGTTTTAGTACAAATAAAATAAATACAAACATACACATACATATTGAAAGTAGTTTTTACATATTTGATAATGAACTTCTACAAAGAGTACTTGCCAGTGAGTTCAGTAAACAAAGAAGTTAAACCAAATCTTCAGGCAGCTGCTATTTATGATATCAATTCTAATCCAGGCTGGAAAAATTGCTGAAGGAAAACAAGTTGTTCAGAGGACAGAAATTTTACTATATTCTTTGTCATACAGACCTACTGAGTTAACAAGTATACTTTATTAGAAATATACAGACAGAAGTCAAGAACAACTTTATGAATTTTATTAGAACATCAGATGTACTTACAAAACAAGACTTGAATTTTAAGGTAAAATACTAAACTTCTAGGGAATAGCTTGTTCATCAGAATGCCTTGTAAGTTTCAATTGCTTACAAATACCTTAAAAAGTGTGGAAAACTAGACAGATACAACTATGTTTAGTATGTAGTACATTGATAATTAAAATTCTACATTTAAGAAAAATGGTTAACTAGCTTGTATTATACATAATAATGTGTATAGGAATTGTTACTTTAACCCAATTGATTTGGCACTAATCTTCAGCCATAAATAACTTATAATATTTAACTAAACTACTATGCAAAAGCTTTGACTTGTATTAATATTTAACTGAGGTGAGTCAACTAGAAGAGTTCTGTCAGTTTAACTACCTGTTGTATGATAAACATAAGAGTAGTCTCTAATCCTGCAGCAACTAATGCTATATGTAAAAGTAAGTGGTCTAATTGTTAAATACAAGTTACAGGTAGTTATGCAAATGTTACAGAACTCTACCAGTCTTGTAATCACTTTATGTTATGCAGTGTTGAAATTCTCCTTAAAGAGCTATAGTTATTTACCTATACTAGGCCTCACAGTGTATGGAATATCAGTTTTTATGCAAGTTAACCATACCTCTTCATGCATTATTAAAATAGAACTGCCAAGAAATGCAAAAAATAAAGGAACTTAGTATCAATTCCCACAAGAAGAAGTGGTACTCCACTTGGAATTCCAAAAAGAATGGCACTGAGTTCTGTCTAGTACTTGCAGAACTTAATCTCTGTTGGTATGTTACTAACAATATGTTTAATAATGACCAGGAGCAACTATGCATTATACATTATTACACAACTGTTTTACCTACTTGAAAATCTGACATGTAATTATTACAAATGATGAACAGGTACTTAGTCGTAGGGATGACAAAAATGTTGTATTTACCTTGATTAATTCAATATTCAAACTTCTTTTTTTTTCTTCAAGTGTGGGAGTGTCTGGGGTTACATTTACTTTAGTATGTTGGAGGCTTATATGATGTAGCATTTAAGACCTGTATTGGAAGAATGAACTTTTGAGAAAAACTATCATTTCCAGGGAATGAATATTAGTGTTTACAAGGAGATTCAGACATTGTTAATTATATTCTTGGTGCATCTTTAGAAATATGATTCCTTTTACCCTGATAAATTGTCTGAAGTAGGTAGTTTCGTACAAACTGAATGTACAAGGAAGGTTAGGTTTCCATGCAACTAGCTATCACTTTGGGACTTTAATCTGGTATCCAAGTTTATATTGGCTTTATGGTATATAATGCCTAAGTTAGTGAAGTATGATCTGTTAACTGGTAATGTTTGCAATATTATAACATTTACATTGTACATCAATGTATTTTAAGATCAACAAAGAACCTGTTAGTCAATCGTATTCAATAAAGCTTGAAATGAAAATAAAACACTTAAAGCCAGCACTTATCATTCAAATATTTATCAAGCCTTCCCTTAAACTCCTTTAAATTAATTGCATCTACCACATCTGAAGGCAACCCATTCAAGGCTAACCACCGTGTTAGAAAAAGAAAGCTGTCTTTAGTTGAAGATTACACCTACCCTACCAAGATTTATATTTGTTTTCTAGTCCTACCATACATCAATTCCCTTAACAATCTTAAATGTCAGATCTCTTCTTACTAGTCCAATATTTCTGTAGATACAGCTTAAAATCCTATTTGACCACAGTTTCAGAGATCTTAACCTTTTCATTCCGAGTAGCTCCCCCTCTGAACCCTTTTCAACAGGATCATTTTGTAATTTGTAGTTAGAATTTTAAGGTGAGAAAAGGCTTGTAGGATTTTTTTGATAAAAAATATAGTACTTGAAGTGTTAAATAGCTTCTCTGGTTTTAGCTATGATAACTGTTTGTGAACAGCAAAATACAAGCTTAGGAGTAGGACTTCATAGCTGAATATCCAGAAACTATGCTTTATAGAAGTAATTGTGTTGATTTTTGGATTGCTGAATGACAATGTAGAATCTATTATTTTATAATTGTAAACTTAAACACTACAGAGATTGAACCTCATTCAAACTTTTAATGAGTTACGGTACTGCACATGTTTCATGTGTGGATGTTGCCAGGCATGAGCAACCCACCTTCTGAACCTCAAATGCACTTTGATGATCACAGAAAATTAAATCTAGACCTATAAAATCTTCTGAATATGGAGTTATAATTTTATATTCATAACCTCTTTCTTTGATCTGGCATGGCCAGGTGGCTTGACTCGCAAACTGAGGGTCAAAAGTTCAAATCGCCATCCCACTAAACATGCTTGCTACTTTCAGCTGTAGGGGCATTATAATGTGACAGTCAATCCCACTATTCATTGGTAAAACAGTAGCCCAAGAGTTGGCAGTGAGTGGTGATGACTAGCTGCCTTCCCTCTAGTATTTTACTGCTAAATTAGGGATGGTTAGCACAGATAGTCCTCAAGTACCTTTGCATGAAATTCAAACCAAACCAAACCATAACCTCTTTCATTTGCTAATATGTTTCTTCAATCTGGCATAAACCTCATGTTGGACCATGTACTGGTTTATTACTGACCTAATGGCTTACTTCTATATGTGTTATTGATTTCAAAAATGACCCCTAGTGAAACAGGTTTAATTAGTTATGTTAGAATTTTGGTAACTTTTAATATATTTTGTATGACAGTATAATCTAACTTGCCCATGCATAAACTTTAACAAGGGTTTTGATTATAAATATTAAACAAATATGTGAAATAATATAAATGAAACTCAAACTTGGTATGATAATTGGAGTATTTACTTTTTATTCGTACAGCATATACATATTTTGTTGTTCCAATGAAAATTTTTCATAGTTTTAATTTTTTTAAGTGTAAAACTACTGCTGAAATTTATTTATTTGTTTCTCATTTTAGAAACTTTTATTTGCTTAAAAGCATCAACTGTGAATTTTTTTTTAATCTTTGAAAAAAGATAAGGGAGGCAGGCTTCTCCATGCTGAGGATAATAGTTGTTCAGTTTATTGGATAATCATTAAGCACCATGAAAGTGTTATTGATATCTGAAAAATCTTCAATGTAATTTCTTCTTCTGAAGTATTATTCTAATCATTTTTGTTCTGGTGTTTTTTATTATGTATTTTTGAATGGAAACATACATCTCATTTTTTCACTAGAATGAAAAAAATGTTTAGTTTTATTTTTGCACTAGCACCTACTTTGGTAAACTAGAGCATTATATGTATAGTTGTGTAGATTATATGATGCCATGAACAAATAATTTTTTGTACCTCTAGGTAATTACATAGAAATGTGATTCTATACAGTATTTGTCGATGAATTTAATACTTTCTTTGACAAAAGTTTTTTTTTCTCTCTCATCTTTAAACATCAAAGTTGTATTGGGTAAGTTCTTTACCAGTGATCTATATTAGAATAATGAGAGCTAATATGACTCAAAACTACTTTGTGTGAAGATGGTGCTTAACTCTGGCTAAAAGTAGGCTTAGTTAGTGAACTTGATCTACTTGTGGTCTTAGTTATTAAGGTTACCTTTCTTTTTTCAACTTAAAAGAAATATTTTGTTTCAGGTGAGTTACTGTTATATTTAATAACAGGAAAGTTGTAGAGAAACTTCATTTTAATGTGTTGTGTGCTAAAATGTTTATTTGCTATATGAACAACAAGTGAAGAATTACATTATTTTACAACAGCAATGTTCATGTACATTAACTTGTATATATCATTAAGTTAAAAATATACAGCCATTGTGGTTAGTGTTTTGCTGATGGCTTTTTTAAAGGCTTCTGACACAGAAAGCCATAAGGTGAAATACTAAGCAAAAGCAACTAATACATTCTTATAGAAGAGGCTATCTGAAGTTAATTTATAAAATATTAAAAAAAATATAACAAAAATGTATTATAGTCTCCTTATTAAGCAAAGTTGAAATATAAATTATGGGAAACTTGAAGATTTTAAAATCTATTTTTGTATTTTAGATTACTTACCAACATTAACTGCTTAGTAGAAAAAATTAAACAATCAGAAATTGGAGCAATAATGTATAACTGCAGGAGTATTTTACATATTTACCCAAGTGTTCCCCAGAAAGTAGTGAATCTATGTAATGTATAATTAACACAATATACAGACATAAATCGTGCATATTAGCTGAAAGTGCCACTTTTCACTTTAAATACATGTTGTTGTGAATCCAGTTTGCACCCGACAGGTTGTAATAGTTTTCGTAGGGTTTTGGATTAAAACTTTTTGTTCACTGTAAGTGTGAGTGGCTGTATGTTCATTAAAATTTGTTGTTACTTCTTTACACTTTATAAGTTAAGTTTACTTTGACTTTGTAAGAAACAGTGGTCAGAAAGACAATAAAGTCATAGCTTCAAATGTATACTGACTGAACTTTATTTTTAACGTGCAAACAAATTATACATTAACTTCTTGAATCATTAAATTATGTTAACATACATACATAGCAATTTAGATTCAATGATGGATAGAACTATTTTTTTCTAGTATCTAGAATTAACTTTAAGAAGAGTAAACAAAAACTTGGAGGTTGTTTAGTGTGGTTAAATGGCATTGTGTATAAGTCCACCATAAAGTAAATAAATGAGTTCTTAAATATTCCTTACAATCCCAAACCAAACTACAGAAGGAAAATTAACATCTGGATTGCTTATCTTTCTTGATCACAACTCAAGTTTATTTGAATAACTTCTTACAGTATTTTCACAACACAAAGTTTTGCATATACAATAATGCTGCATTACACACTTTGAATACATTCAAATCAACAGAACTACAACATGTAAATTAGACTTTAAAATTTCCATTTTGTATAATTTAATGTTAAAAATTACTGGCAGACAAAATAAATACAATTCTCTGCAAAATAATTGTATTTAATTAATACATTTTATCAATGGCCTTTGTTAAGTAGTGCTTAATTCCATTAATGTGAACAGCCTGTAAACATTTTATTGCCAAGTGATAAATTTTGTTACTCATTCCCTGAACTTTAAAGTTTAATAACTGTTTTGGTAATAATATTAACTTCTGATCAGAGCAAGCTATGTATTCCTACTGTTAACAATATTTTTGACTGTCCCACTTACTAATATTTTGTGAAGATTTTAATTGGTAACATTTAAAGGTAAAAGCGCTGTAACTGGATAACAATATATATATATATATACATAAAAGCTAACCACTTGTTCTGGAACTAACAAAACTGTCAAGTTGCAACCTGTTCAGCTAAATTAATGGCACTGCATTGGCACATTACATAAAATAGGAAAAATTTCACATATAAAAGAGCTGAAATAACATAACTTTGGCTAGTTTCTTTGCACAAAATATTTACCTACTGACTCCAAGCAAACAATTCATTATAAAAAATCAGTGTTTATACAACATTTGTAGTAATTCATCAGTTAAACAGTATACAGATATTGCAGTTATGCATTTGGTAAGTACATAATACCAACACAAGTTTTGAAAGGAGCAGGTGACAATCTATGGAAGCTTGCTAAAGTGTCACCCTCAATGTACAGTATGTATATTTTAAGGTGCATGAAGCTTATGACCAACTAGCATAAGATATTAACAGACCTCATCTAAAAGTTTTGTATACAACATAAAGAACATTATGCTGACAAAAGTAAATCAATAATTTTGACAGAACATGTCAGTGGATTACACCAATATGGAGTTAAAATTTTTGTCTACTATTTTACGTTTTAAGTACCTCATACTTGGGTATCAAGTCCAAAAATAAACATTAACAAAGCATGAACTGCAAAAAATAAAGAATTTACAAGATTTATGTTCCAACGAAAATTATAAGTGCATTTTGAAAAAGGAATTACATCTTTTAGTAAGTTTGTCTTTTATGTTTCTACTAAACCTTGAATACTGACAACCAAATATTACTTTTAAATATTTATAGATACTAGCATCCTTGCTTTACCAAATACAAAGTGTCTTTATGTACAAGTTTCAAGTTTATACAAACCAATTAATGGGAATTAATTATTTTGCTAAATTATAAAACCTGGTGCAAGTCTTCTTGTAATATGACCCCCCCCCCCCCAAAAAAAATTTTTTTATTAAGAAACGGTAACAACATTCACAAGAGAATCTACACCACCTTACAATATTTTCAAATGATCCTTCCAAAATTTTCAATAAAAATAAAGAACTATTTCACCTTCTTAAATATTTCCTCTCCCAGAAAATATGTGACTGGATGACTAAACTCAACTAGATGCTAGGAAAATGTACCTGAGTTGTTGAATTTTAAAAAGTGTCTGGGCTAGACCCCAACTGATACTCTAAGAAATTGCAAGTGTCAGCACTTGTATTTTGTCATAAGAAGTGCTAGTCACTCACGACTGTGGATCTGTCTTATGAATTTGTTATTTAAGTTTTATTACTGGTTTAAGTACTTTTCAAAAACAAAAGATGATCCTCGTGTATCGAAGCACATTATGCTAATATAATAGTCAATTTACAAACAACAATTTATAAGTGTAATGAAGTGGTTTATTTATGGAGAATATACAACATTTCTACAGAACATTGGTCTGTAGTTGATGAAGACAGATCAATGTTTGTTCAAAACATGTAGTATGTTCCCCTAAAATATAACATTTCATTATGCTTATCAATTTTTATTTGTCAATTTACTACTAATCCTGATGTCTTTCATATCTTTGATAAATATTATTTAAACATAAACACAAAGACTTTAGATGACATTTTTAAATTAATTAAATATACTTTTGGGTGAACTTGAATACATATCTTACTGAAAGCTGTCAAAATCATTGAAGAGTTTATCAAATAAATACACTTTAAAACATACTTGAAATCTTACAATAATAGAAGTATAGTATGGAGTTAATATTTTATGAAAAGTGAACATCTGTACAGCATTTTTGGAAAAAAGTACTATTACATGTGCTGTAAAGGTGAACTAAAAACTTGAAGTACACAGTGCTAAACAAAACTTGCATTATGGTCTAGTATACTGTAAGTATCTGTGAAAATGTTTTAATAAATTATTGTACTAACCAATATATTGGCTGTGTAAAGTAGTTGAGTGTTATATTATAATTCTGTTATTAATTTTTTTTTTATATCAAACAAATCTTGTTCAGCAGATTTTGGTTAATGAGTAATTATTTTTGACATGATTTAACTGATTTCACAAACACAGTTTATAACTTTACATCATTCAACAGCTACATTACATTTCTGTTTTCCTAAATTCTATCAGTGCTCTAGAGTGAATATTTGTAGTTTTTTCCTAAACTTTTTGATATATCACTGTGCAAATCTGACAAGTGTTTTTTCTAAACATTTTCTATTGTAAAATCATAATCATCTAAAGTTATTAATAATTATTCAGTTACATTAGAATCATGCTTACAAAAAAATTTAAAACCACTTAATACTAACTTCATATCTTTATGTTACAACTATATTCGTCATAAGTGGTTTTTACTGTGAAATAGGAAGTCAATATCTTTATATACATATAAAAACTTCAAATATTATATTACAACTTGCTTTAGTAAATGAAAGTATAAAAATCTATCATACTTATTAAGCTGAAGTTTATTTATATACAATATTGTTGAAATATATTACTTGGAAATACAGTGGATATTTTGCCTTCTGCAACCTTGTATGATATTATTCTCAATTTTCCTCTAGAAAATTTGAAATACAAGTATGTAAGATATTAGATTTGCACATAATTGCATCACAAAGGTAAAGATATCTCAAAATGGGTTTAGGAAAACAGAAATAAAAGATGTGAAAATCTGATAGCAATGTAGCTTCTGTATCTAAAGTTGCAATCTGTTTGTTTGTAGAATCAATAAAATCTCTTAGGTAATTAATGATTCACCAAACACTAGTACAAACTTTATATTCTCAAACCATTCTTAATGATAATTTATAGATCAAGCTTTTTCAAAGTTCCATTCAATGGCAACATTATGCTCTGTATATCATGAAGCACAAGGTTTGTGAAATCACTACACAATATCATAAAATCTTGAGAGATGTGGAAAACTGGAAGTATAACAAGGCTAAAGTCTACATAAAATGTAAGTTGTGAACTTCTATTTATAATTGGAACTCAATTTGACACAAGTGAAACACTTCTCTCTTGTACAGATTATGGTATAGCATCAGAATATCACGAAGAATTCCTGATTTAATAGCATTAGACTGTACATTTTAATATACAATTTTCAGTACTGAGGTTATCTTAAAGCACCTCTTGTGTAGAAAACAAATACATTATGCTGTATCCTACACAAGCTGATTATCACAAACTGATCATCTAGTCATGACTAGTTGACAACATTGTAAAGCAGGCTCTGGATAAGAAAGAAACCTATCTTTAAAAAACAGGAATAGAAGAAAATAGCAAAAAAATTTCATTTCTTTCAAAACAATAATAATGAATATAATCATTTTTAAATCAGTAGTATGGTAAATTTGTAGATAATAAGAGATATACAACCTTTATTTCACTAGTCTCACACTGTAGTTTAAATTATAAAAGTCTGTTGTACTTGTCAGGAGATTTCAACAATTTCATAATTTCCCTTCCATGTAGAACACACAAATAAGCTCACTTAATATGGATTTGGACTTGGCAGTGGAAGCCACTATATTGTTTTACTAAAATAAATGTTAAAATTAAGAACATAAATATGAAGTTTATTAATTTTCAAGTCAAGTTTGTTTTATACAAATATTTCAACTAATTAATTCAGTTAACTAGCAAAGCTTTCAACACACATGAAACACAAATACACTGTCTGTATACATGATTTCTAATCACATACCTAATGTAACTTCAAGCAACATTGGTATATCTAAATAGATGTTGGGTGATACCCATGTTCACGTTATAATGTTTGTGATAAGAACTAAGTCAACAGGGAAGATAGATAACTATAGGTTTTATAGCTGAAAATGTTGCTTGTTATATATAAATCTGTTATCAGTTATATTTAATAATGTACTGTTAGTGGCATACGTTAGTCTAAGCTAGATAGTCTCTAAACAGGGAAGAAACTCTTACACTAAGTAAAATTAGGTTGCAAGTACTGCCTTGTAGTAAATGGTTGGACACCACAGTTCATAATATCTACACAAACATAAAATTGTGTTTGGTGTGCTGCTTACAATTGGAAATTTATTTTGCAGGAGAGAAATGCTATTTTTTTTTAAGATTTCCAAAGGAAACAGAAAGGTAAATTCAACTTTTCTGTCTATAATATTAATAATATGACATTTCTTCTATGTTGAACTTTTACTGAAACTGTACAAGTGGAATCAATGCTGTTGTGACAGGTTACACTTTTAAGACATCATGGCATATTAACATGTTTACAGCAATAAGAAACTCTCCTGGCATTCTCTTTAATCCAACTTTCAAAGATGAAATGCAGCTATTGTCATTAAAAAGTACACGAGTGTGACTAAGCTGACTTAATTCACTGAAGAACATGACTCCAGAGGAGCTCAGAAATATTTACAGGCTCTGTTTGAAACATTTTGATAAGTCCATGTTTATAGATTCAGCTGAAAGAAATCCACTGGTGTATGTGTGTCTATTCTGACGTGCCAAATCCTACTTTAAAAGTACCCCCCCCCAAAAAAAAACACCTTGCTTCTATCACACAAAGAACAAAAGCAATCTGAGAGATTGCATACCCTCGCCCTGCAGCTCCTTTTCAAGATTGCTTGTGTTTATATTGGATAATGTCAAATTTAACCTTTGCAAATTCAGAAAATCCTTCTCAGATCCAAATAGATCAACAATCTAGATAATTTTTTGTAGTATGATGAGGAGTCTCAACATTAATGTGCCCACCTTACAGAGTTATTAACCCCAAACTCTGAAAATGTCCTATCTCCCCATTATAAAAAATACTTCAAAGTGATTCAGAATCTGGATTTGGATCCAGACCAAATTTGGGGAATGACTGCCCCATACTGACTTCCCATCTTGTGTAAAATTTTCATGTACATCATTCTATTAGTTTTCAAGATACGGGTGCAGAAACACAGACCTGACTGCAATACCCTAGCCACTCACCATGAGTATCGATACTCAATTTTTAGTGTTATAATCTCTCAGACTTACTGTTGAGCCACTAGGGAGCTGACAGCTGAATAAATCACGATATTTTTACATTTTTTTCAATAAGTAAATAGAAATGATCATCAGATCCAGCAACGATTATTAATAAATTGATCTTATTTCTAGAATCTTAATTTTTATTTTTATGGTTGAAAATTTTTTTCACTGGAACTCCATTTTATAAAGCTTTATGTGTGTGTCTTTTATTTATAAAATTTATTCAAATTGATCAATGGGTAGCGCTGCTTGTGATATTTAATTATTCTTTTCTTACCATTTGTGGTTGATTAGGAATTGCTTCTTTGCAACTAAGTTTAAAAACATTTACTCTTGAACTGCTGCCTTCTATTAAGTGATTAGTGTACCATGGTAAAATAATGAAAGTAATTACATAATACAGAAATATTATATAAAATGTATGCCTTCAACTGTCAAGAACTACTTACATTACACAAAAGTTAAATTTTTGCTATGCCTTTGCAAGGCACATAGGGTCAAGTGCATTTGAACTTTGGTTTCAAGTGATACAAACAGACGATAATGGTGACCTATTCCTTCTAGATGAGATGCCAGTTCATTGCAGGTGAACCCTGAGCTTACAGCTGGTACCCATCATATAGCTGGGTAGACTGGAACAAATGGGGTAAAAGATATTGCTCAAGGAAACAGCATGATGCAGACCAGCCTTGAACTCGCAACCATCTGACTATGAGTCCAATGCACAAATCTATGCTGTCCCTTACACAAAAGTGAGAGCCTTTTTTCACCAGTTACATGTCTATATAGCAAAACAAAATAATTCTCATGAATGGTGTATTGCTGAACTGATGGTTTATTAAAATGGAAATAACATTCAATTTGAAGTTAATTTGTTTTTTTATAAATGGCAGAATCTACCTTTTTCACTTATTAGTTTTAATACTGTTTTAATAGTTAAACATTGTAATCAAATAAATTATACATATGACCAATAATCAGCCATAAAAGTATCACTGACAGCTGGTTCCATGCCAAGTTTATAAAGAAAACATTTGCAATATAGAGAAAAACCTAAAAACACATACAGCAGACAGAGCAAAACTTTTGATGTGATCTAGAGTCTGATCCAGATTAAACATCAGCATGCTAAATATCGTTATTTAATGAGTGGTAATCTCACTCAAATACTATAATTCATATTGCTAAAATTTCATTTCAAGCACAATTTTTGTACAGATTTTTTCCTACTTTTTATTCAATCAACCAATACAAAAATTTACATTTATTTAAAAAAATTGTCAAATTATTCTTTATTTCAGATGCATTATAGAGATATTTTAAAAAGCCTGTATTTCAGTGTTAATGCCCATTTCAAAATTACTCTGGATGAGGCTTTATAAATAGTAAAAAACTGGTCCCTTTGACTGCACATCAAAAATAAACCTAACAATATAGTTGATAGTAGCATACAAAGTTTTTGAATTCTACATGAGAATTTTATCAAAAAAGCATGGAAAAATTTTAGTTCTATTTTGTGTTCTTATACCAGAAAAATGGATAATGTTTTTCAATATGTGGTTTACATACTGACACAGATTGCCTAAAACAGTAAAATTTTCAAATGGTTAAATGGATTAACTAATGAATCAATGAAAAAAAAAATCTTTTACTTGTTCTTCAAAATGAAAAAAGGCCAAACATATACAAAAGAGAAGCCACTAACCTTTCCACAGTTTTTTCTGCATAATTAAAGAAAATATTATTTTGAAAAAAAACCCCCAAAAAACCTATAATTTTGTTGAGAAGTTAAAAGGGGAGAAGAGGAAGAATTACATAACAATAATGATATTATTCAAAATTTTTTGTTTTTGAAAAGGGAACTTAAAATGTTTTTTTAAGGCAACGAGTTTTAACAGGTTGAATGAAACTAAAAAAAAGCATAATGTATTATACATCTTTCCTTCTCTGAAAGACTGAGGTATGGAAGGATATAAGCATCCTCTATTCACTACAAAAACACTACCCGAGGATGCACATGTAGCATATTATTACATCATGCATCAAAATCATTTAAAAACACTAGACAATTTGTTTTACTCCACAGACTGAGAAAACAAAGAATGACATAATATTATATATATATAACTATACATAACTATCTATCAATACAACATCTAATATTAATGTTAGGCATAATTTATGATTACACTTAATTTGAATCACAAATAAATTAAACACAACATTCCAACTTCAAAACTACCAAGTCTTCAGCTCATCCAGCACAGCTATCATGTGAGGATTTCCTCCAAGCATCTCAACTTCTGCTCGAGCTCTAAAGTTTGTAAACAATTTACACTGATACAAAAATGTCAGAAATTAAATAATCATCTTTCTTGTATAACTGATAGAACTATGTTTTAGTACTTGCATATATTACACTTGAACAATTATTAATAACTGCCACGTGGTTAAGCCTTATTTATTACAATTCATACATGTATTGCTAGATTTTTAGTTAACTTCTAATCAGGGTGTGCAATAGTAAATTAAGTCATAAAGAAGGGAAATTCCCAATCCCAATCATATTATTTCTGCTTATTATATATGTAAATACTTTAGGGCCTACAATATCAAATGGAATATTTTCCACTTTTTACTGATTATATATTACATGGCAAGCTAATGATTTTCTTTAAGCCCTGAAATTACTGTTACATTTTCATTTTTTGATCTTCTTATTTTGGATTTTTAATATTTATATGCAATCACAAACATTATAAGCATATTATCACAGCTAAAACACAATAAGTACGTTACTATTTACAAAGTAATATGAATTATACTCACTCTTGATCAAGTTCTTCCATTGTTTTCCGTGTATATTCAAAGGAACCAAACTTCTCCATGAGATCTACAGAGTACTTTTTTATCTCTACATCATGAGTTCTTTGACGTATAATATCTGAACCACATCAAAGTAAACAATCTAATTACATTTCCATGATATATACCATTCATTGGTAGGTGACAACACACTGCCAAAAACATGTCACCTGTCAGGAGGTGAGGATACTAAGAAATAATGAAATATATTACAGTATGATTTCAGAAATATTAACTTAATAAAAAAAAAAACTCAAAATTATTTTGGACCATTATTACATACAAGAGTAAATAACTGAAAGGATACTAATCATTCGAGGGTCTTCAGGATGAGAGCAGATGGTATGAATTATCGGAAAGGAAAATTTCCCCTCAGTGAGATCTTCACAATAGCTCTTATTATCTGTATACTGACAGAGAAAATATTTTTCTATCTAGATATTTCATATTCAAAAATTAACATTTTCTTACACTGAAAATGTATTTCTTTTAGGCACTTTCTCTCTCTCTCACACAAAGCTATATCAATCTTCTTTCTATTCCCCAAGCATTGCTAAAAAATTTAATGCTCAATACACCAGTCTATATACCCCACAAATTTCGTGCCACTTTTGAACATGTATATAACATGTGACTATCCTCCACCAATAGTATTGTACCACCTATATTGGTGTAGCTAGCTTCCTCTGATGTTACCCCTCAATCCTCACTTTTGAGAATTGGCAGGATCTAGAGTGAATAACACCAGCAGTGGGGAGGAAAGGTGGGAAGTGTATGAGTGGAGGTAAGTACCTATTGAAATACTTTTTCAGGGTAAGAAAATGTTAACTTCCCATATGGTCTTACTTCCACTTACAAAAAGTTAGAATCTCACATTGAAAAGGCGGAAGGGCCTAACAGTGAAACCAAGCAGAAAGCGACTACCTATAAATAATTGGTGTGCTCAGAGATGAAACCAAAGCACATATGTGGGGCACCACACTAGTTCTGAAACAGGTATGTTCTTTGCCTCGTAATAAGGAAATGAACCTGACACAGGTGGAAGAAAAGGATGTGCACAAAATTAATTCCTTCTGAGAGATGCAATCCATGGTAAAAAATGGTGTAAGTTCAAATTATCCCCCATCACACAAAGCAGACTGGAAAACAGCCAGCTCCTGTAGATGAAGAGCCACTCTATGAAATCCCCTTTGACTTTACTCATGATAGTCCATGAGTGAAGGTCCACCATTGAGTTAAACTTATGGATATATACAGACACAAGTATATACCTATAGACATGCTACTAGTGGTTTAGCAGAACACCCCATCTCTACAGTGAACATTATAGCTTTACTGGTATATAGTGTGGGTTTGAATAAAAGCACACCTGACCAAACAGCACTCACCACAGAGTGTGATCCTACGAGTAGTGGTAAAAGAAGGTCCCTTTAAAGAAAACGTAAATGAAATATTTTGAAACGGCATACCCAAGTCAAAGGTGAATGAATGTGTGTAGAATCGCCATGGGAGGGAGATGATATCCACTTGAGAAAGATATAGCCAGATAGTGCAGATAATTAGTGACAAAGGAATAGGGAACAGACCACATCCCAGCCTGAATGATTACTTCCAATGGATGGCAAAGACAAGCAGCCAAATACATAGTGATATGACAAATTTGATGAGAAGAAACAATGATCTTCTATGGAGAAGTCTGAATACACCAGCCTAAGGAGTTGACGAACCCAACCAGTTAGTGTGATAGGGGTTAGATCACAGGAAACAGAAGAGTTCCAGGGAATAAAAGGTTGGTAACATTAACCCCAAAAGGAGGAAGTACATGCCACATAGTGCCACAAGAAGAGAACCTGACAAGGAATCCAATCAGGATCAGAAAGGAAGTACAGGTGGGAGATGGGAGGTAAAGAAATGGGTGTGACAGCCAAATGGCCTTCTCAGGCAACAGAGGTCTTAAAAAGGAAGGACCAGTCTGGATATATACCACACACCCAAATAAACAGCTGTAAAAAAGGTGTAGTGTGACAGACTAAAAAAAGAAGGTGCTGAAAAAGTGAATGCAATTTTCATCTCTTTCATTGTATTCCTCCTCAGAAACATTGTAAGGATGAAAATGAGAAGAAATCACCAGCTGAGTGTAGGAATTAAACTCCCTGCAAATTAAGGCCTGTACCTCCTCAGCAGATAAGGTTGAACCCGATGTCTGGGTAGTCTTACCAGAAGCATTGTCTACCCTAATGGGAATTTCCATTGTCAATACACTGAATCTCGACGTCATTCTAAGTTACCATATAATGCAGTAGCAATAAATAAATAAATACAAAAAAATTTAAAAATTGAATGCAAACACATTAAAAGAAAACTGTTGAAATATCAATGAAGTACAATCATAAACAATAGTCACATGCAATAAAACCCTTCTAAATGATGCTGTGCTAATCTAGAAAGTGAGGACTGAGCAGGAACAGCAGAGAGAGCTAGTTGTGTAACATGGGTGGTATAATATTATTGGTGGAGGGTGATCACATGCTATATATGTGTTCAAAGGTTGTGCTAAATTTGTGGGGTATATCGAATGGTGTGTTAAACGTTAAAAGTTTTTAGCAATGCTTAGGGGGCAGAAAGATTGAGATAGCTTTGTGTGACAGGAGGTGCAATTGTATCGGAACCTAAATATCTTCTATTAGTAGATTTTTCCTTATTAGTTTTATCTTTATCAAATTTAAAATATAAAGTCTGATTTAATTTTCAAGTCTTAAAATTCTGCAAAATATTTTTATGAAACAAGTTTCCTGAAACTGCACGTGTTTGACAATTGCAAACCATGTTCTCACTCCTGTAAATACCTTAAAAACATCATATTATTTACTACAGAAATATAACCACACCCATTACTTTTGATACTTTATTAATAGTTATTTATAAAAATAATAAAAGTTTAGTGACAGTTTTGGCCTTCAGATTATGATGATAGAACAGTTTTGAATTAACATACCCTTGCTGACTAACTTTTTTAAAAGAACCAGCTACCACAATATAGATGGTATACACAGTATTGGAAATTCACAGGTGATATATATACATAAAAGAATCACAAACAATGGGAAATTGTTTGTTGATCAACTTATCATTAGTAGAACGAATTATTACAGAAAATACTAGCTAAAAGTAGATTACTTGTACAGTGCACTAGTATTTTGTATTTTTTTAACTCTTATGGCACTTGCCAAGGTTCACCTTGCCCTAAGGTCAAAATTGAACCATGCTGAAAGACAGGCAATTTATAGAACACTATAATATCTGAGAATGAGAAACCATGATTGGTTAAAGTTCAGAAAAGTACATTTTTATTGAAATTACAAGGCTCAGCTTGATGCTATTTGTTAAGAACTATTTCACCTTTCTTTGTAAGGGGACATGAGTGTTGTAATGTGCTCAGAAAAAAATGCAGGAAATTCATAAACAGTGTGTGCTGAAATCAAACCAAAATCAAGTTTTTTTTATTTTTAAAACTTTTATGGATATAATGAAATGAACATCTTTACTGAATAGAATTCATTTGTGAATAATTTAAAACAAAATATGAGAACAAATGACTACTACAACTTTATTACTCTAATTATTTTAATTCGTAAAAAGTCATAATAAAATGATCTAAACATGTGATGCAATCTATTTTTTTCTGTTCAACTGTATAAGCCAATTTGGCTTACAGTTCCAGAAGGAAATTGTGTAAGATAGTGGAAAAAAAGTGATAAATCACAACCTGTTGATATTTTGCTAAAAGAAAAGACGTTTGTGGACAACCTCTGTTACAAGTACAGTCCTGATTTCTCCCTTAAAGCTTGCTTTATTATTTTATACTTCATTTGAATTATGATATTGCAGTATGCCAAGAAATTTTTTTTTTGTGGAACAAGATTAGGTTAAGAAATATTATGCTTAGTTACATCATTTTATATTTGACCTTATGAACTTTCGTTTCATTGGCAAAGTCACTAGCTGTCAGGCCTCACATCTTTGAATTAGCAAAAAAATTTTTTTAAAGAAATATGAAAAATGTATAGACATTAATATAAAATAGGTTTAAAAGTTATTAAATATATTAAATTAAACATTCTGATTAACAATTAAAAGGAGTAAGTCACTAATAATTTTGGTATTGTAAAAAAGTTATTTTTATTGTATGTTAGTGATCATGAAAACAGCAAAACTGTGTGTTTAGTGTTCTTACAATTGAACACAGACAAAATTTAGCTTTATAAAATAAAAACATTGTTGGAAAGTTTTACAAGATGTAAGAAGATATAAAAATCAGTAATTGAAACCTAAAACAAGAGTAAAAATTTTTTTATTGTTTCTTCAAAAAGAAAACATTTCACATAGAAATCTTTTTGAATTTTTGCAGCTGAGAATTCATACAAATACCATATATAAAAATAATATAATTTTATGTAATTTCTATAAAATATCTGTAGAAATTACACCTCAATTTTCAAAATAAACAAACCATTAGACTAGTGCATACCCCGAGTTACTAAACATCACTTTTGAAGATTTGGAGCTTCCTACCTTGACTGTTTCTATCATCAAAAGTACTATTTTAATAACCCTTTTCTTAATTTCCATACAGCTCCAACTGAAACATGAATCATTTCTTTACTCTGTCATATAGAGTAGCCCTCACCAGCCAAAACTTTGATTTCTATGTTTGTCATGTGGCATTTCTGTCCTGGGTGCATGAGTACATTTACCTTATTACTGCTGAGAATAGTATATCTGCCTGTACTTTTAGAGGCATTATGCTGGTGTGGCATTATCAACATGTAAGTGTATCTGGTGCAGTTTATTTTCATACAACAGACAGGAAACAAACCCAAAATATTTGCATTTTATAGCCATTTTATTCACTGTTTCTATAATGATTTCCAATACTGTATATAAATTTTATTTTTAATTTCTGCATAAGATATTTGTATGTAATATTTTTCACAAAGCAAAGTATTAAAAATCTGTTCTATTTAGCCCACTTCTCTGAGAACACAAAAATGTTGTCTTTAGCACATCTTCAATACATATTTTACTTAGTGAGTTAACTATAAATAATTATAGTTCTTTCCTTACTGCTCTACCAGATATGAACATGAGGCAGAAATGTACATTACCTCTTTGGACAGTAGGTTGGCATAGTCATCCCTTATTTGAAAGTACAGGCCCATAATTCCTATCAACTTTGTAAAATCACTGTAAGAGAAATTATTGATGCAAATTATGATTAATTAATGTTACCAAAGCCAAATAAGTACACAGTAATTATTTTCTTTATTCAAAAGAAGTTTATTCTTGTTAAGTTTGGTTTGTTTTGAATTTCGCACAAATCTACACAAGGGTTATCTGCACTAATTTAGCAGTGAAAAACTACAGGGAAGGCAGCTAGTCATCACCACCCAACGTCAACTCTTGGGATACTCTTTTACCAATGAATAATGGGATTTACTACCACATTATAATGCCCCCACAGCTGAAAGGGTGAGTATATTTGATGTGATATGGATTCGACCCTGTGACTCGTAAATTGCAAGTCAAGCACCCTAACCACTTAGTCATGCCAGGCCTTCTAGCTAAGAGATTAATACCAACTGTTCTAGAAGTTAAGATTATAAAAAAAAAGAATATTACTGTAAATGCAACAAATATAAGATAAGAAAACACACCATCATATTGCTGAATTTATCATATCAATATAAAATAACATCAATATGCATAATCTTTTAATATCTTTACTAAGATCACAAAAATCCCTTTCATTAAATTAGTTTTTGTAAATGTACGAAATACTTTTGTTTGTGCAAGAATCCCTTTAGTGAAAAAAAAAGGTGACATAGAAAAGAAGTATGTTTAGAAAACCTTATAAAAATAAAATATAAACTATACCAGTAACTGCTAGTTGTATTGCAGGTAGACATTTTATTAGCTTTATTTGAAAATTCACCTTTGAGTTAAAAAAAAAGAAAATAATTAGTTTCTCAAACATTCTAGCACATAAATAAACCTACACATACTCCTTGATAGGTAGTGTTATTACTTTAATGCAAGAAAAGAGATGAAAACCAACCTTGAATACTTAAAATAAAGACTGGTGAGAGGGGGAGTGAATCAATCTTGATCATGCATAAAAAAACTCTTTAGTTTGTTAAATAAATATACCGTTCAACATACTTCTATGTCTACTGAGCATTATATAATGCTATGTTAATCCTCTATATGTGAATTTGTAGGAAAAAATTTACATTAAAAGGACAGAAAACATAAGTTAAAAGTTTAGATTAACTACACTACCCTAAGACCTTTAGAATCATCCAGTACAGGTAAGGCTTTCAAATAGTATCAGTAATGATACTACCAATTTTGCACGTGGAGGATATGAAATAAAATAATTTTTTGTGGCTTTTATATATACATTTACGTAACTAAAAAATCATAAATGACTACATTCCCTTATAATTTATCAAGCTTAGTAACTAAGCTGTATTTATCAAGCTTAGTAACTAAGCTGTATTTATCAAGCTTAGTAACTAAGCTGTATTTCAGTCTAAAAAAATGTGAAATTTTGAGCTGACTAAAGACACATATTTACTTCCTTAAAATCTTGGTTCAAAAGAAAGAGATGGCATCCTTAGAATTTAAAATGTCCAAGAAAGCCACTGGGGAACATTCCGAGGTTTCAACTGGTTATTCATGTCATATATAGAAATAAGTGTATCTAAGGAAGCATTTCCAAAATTGGAAAGAGGTGGGGAGGGTGCCACTGTGTTTGATTTATTACATGAGCAATATCTTAGCAAATAGAAAATATAAAACATTATTATTTTATAT